AACTAAATAGGGCAAGCAATTAAACACAGGAGAAAAAGAAGTAAACGACAACAGGTAAATAACATGTCAATCGTAAGTCAATACATCTCACTTCTAACCATCAATGTAAATGGACTCAATTCACCAATTAAGGGAAATAGACTGGCACAATGGATTAGGAAACAAAATCCAACAATATGCTGTATACAAGAAACTCATTTAACTCATAAAGCATTCATAGGCTGAAAGTCAAAGGATGGAACACAATACTACATGCCCCAGCACCTCAGAAAAAAGTAGGGGCAGCGATCCTATTCTCAGATAGTCTCAACTTCAAACCGAGAATGATCAAATGAAATAAAGAAGGCCACTATATACTGGTTAGGGGAAAAATTCAAGAGGAGGAGGTAAAACTCATAAATATGTATGCACCAAACACGGGAGCACCCAACTATATAAAGCAAATCTTAACGGACATGAAAAATCTAATATCCAATATCATTCAGAAGGATATACTTGCAAATACCTGGCCGGCAGTGAGAAAACATTCTGTACCCCACAGGCCACAGCATTAAACTGTCACAATGGTTTCAGCGGATTCTGAAAGTGTACCTGTAGCCCTGGAAGCTTGAGGTTACCTGGTCTTGGAGGGACCTAGAGCGACAGCCCAGTGTTGCACTGTGACCAGGAAGCCTCTCTGTAGGCTCCTGGCTCCTGAAGTGCAGATCTGGCAAATTCATGCTAAAGTCAAGCAGACAGCAGGAGGAGAGGATGTGGGTGCTCCCATGCTGAACTGCAGGGGCTGCCTGTGGTCCATCTTCACACAAGGCCTGGCACATGCAGCCTCTGGATCTCACAGCTTCATAATGTAGGTTTTGGACTTATTTCCAAAGGTGTATATGAGGAGAAAGAGGAACAGAATCGTGTGTTATGGCTGGAGACACATGGCTTGTTGGAAGAAATGTTGGAGGCTTGGTTTTGAGACCTTTGCCTTGAGACAAAGTTTGACACACAAATGTGGAAGATGAGAAATACGCAGCTTAGTAGTAGCCTGGCTTCCTTGACTCTAGTTTCTAGGCATTCTTTAAAAAAATCTTACCCCGGGACCTGCCGTGTGGGCCCCGCCCCTAGGGCGCTCTGAGAAGGCAAACGAGCCTGGGAGTGGTGGTGGGCGCCTGTAATCCCGGCTCTTGGGAGGCTGTAAACAGGAGCATCACTACGAATCCAATATAAGTAGTGAGATCCTGAACATGCTGTAGACCCTTCCCTAAAATACAAAAAAAAAAAAACAAAAAAAACAAAACAAAACAAAAAAAACTGTAGTGAAATATACACCATAGTAGCATCTTAACCATTTTAATTTGTACAAGTCAGTGGCGTTGACTTGTATTGCTGTATAATTGTTATCACCACCTATATTCAGAACTCCTCATCTTGCAAAACTGACGCTCTATACCCATCAGCACTGGCTGTCTATTCCTCATCTCATCCACACAGCCTAGAAATCACCATTCTCCTTTCTATGAATTCGACTACTCTAGGTATTTAATAGAAGTGAAATCATACGTTGTTTTTCTCTTTTGTAACTGGCTTATTTTACTTAGCATATCATCCTCGGTGTCCACTCATGTTGTAGCATGTATCAGAGTCTCCTTCCTTCTTTTTTTTTGGTGGAACCAGGGATTGAACTCAGGCCCTTGTGCTTGCCAGGCAAGCACTTACTCTGCTGAGCCATCTCCCCGGCCCCTCCTTCCTTCTTAATATTGAATAACGCACGCTCATTTGAATGTGTGTACTACATTTTTGCTCATTTGCCTATTGACTTATACATTTTGGGTTAGGGCTAGAGTTAGGGTGGTTGCATGTACTTCTCAGCACTTTTGAATAATGCTGCTCTCCTGGGGACTTCTTGAAAGCTGGATTGAATGGAAATCTGTCAGGCCGTAGGGGCTGAGTTCCCAGCGGATGAGTGCTTATCCCTGTGTGCGACAGCACTTCACGGGCACCGCTTACCAGCCGGAGGGAGTCCGCAGCCTCCTCTGCCCACACTTTTGCCTCTAGCGGAAACTTCTAAGTGCCCCTTTTCTTGTGGCATTACACCTTTCCGAGTTTATCACTAGCATATCTAAAAAATGCATAATGTATAAAATCTGGGCCCCTGATATTCTTCTACTACAAAGGAATTATAAACTCAGCCATCCTTTTTTAAATTACATCTATGGACTATTCTTTTTTTGTGGTATGGGCGATCAAGTTCGGGACGTTCTTGCCAGGCAGGCGCTTATGCCCCTGAGCTATCTCCCCCGCCCTCTATGGACTATTCTTACACCTTGTTTCTTTTTAGAATATTTGAAAGAGAAAGCACTTCCTGGTTTTGAAAAAAGATATTTAATTCTTTGAGTGGAAGGAGCGTGTTTGGAACAAAGTTATGTTTAGCATATGTGCTTTACTTAACTGCCTATGTCTGCTTCTTCTTAGTATTTAGTGATGGGGAAGCTCAGTTAGGAGTCTTTAGGTTTGTTAAGGAGCGAGAGTGAGAGAGCGAGCGAGCAAGTGAGCGAGCGAGCAAGTGAGCGAGCGAGCGAGAGAGAGAGAGCTCAACTATAATTCACATGAGAAGCAAACAAAACATTTTTGTTGCCTTAAGGAGCTCTCTAACACTGCTCCAGAAACAACCAACAATGGTTGAAATGTTCTGGTTTGCTCTTGACATGAAAATTTATTAAACCTAAAAAAAAAAAA